CCTTCCAGGTGCGGAAGAATTCAATCACGTCCTCACACAGAGAGATGGTGATCAAATAGTAATTTTACGCGTTGTCTGACTTACACTACTTTTCGCGAGGGCTTTCAGTATAGATAAATATCCGTCTTCTGACTAATGTATATCTTCCTGGTTTATTTGGTTTCTTACGAAAACACCTTGGTACCCTACAGCCTTTTCGAGGCGGCAGGCGAGCTGACTTTTACTCGGCTTCTCCACGTCTTTCATTTGCCAGGATGTAGCATTTGATATATTATTTCAGTAGGCTTTGAAACGAAAAGGCAGGCAGCTGTGATAAATGACGCTAAGAAGTACGTCTATGACATCTTAAGAGTGTATGAGGACGGAAGCCGTTCTTCTTGTGCAAATGTAGGGTCAGCATATACACCTTCCCCTATTACGCCATTATGTGGGCAAAGGACAGAGCAGGGCCAACCACATCGTGCCGGCTGGAAGAGGAGATGTGGTCACCAGGAACCTCTACCATGGCTTCAAGTGGTTATAGTGACTGACATCGAACGAATCCCGTCTTCATTAGCAGTTATTTAGCATATAACACTATATCTGTCCGCCCCCATACTGTTTGGTTGCTGTTGCCTACCACCTGATGACCTGTTCAAAATTTGACGGTTGATTCGACTATGTCCATTATAATTACCCTTCTGTTAATTGCTGCTTCTCATGTGTGAAGACGGAGTTCTGTAAAAGGCAGGAGTTTCCTTGGTAGTGGTCTCGGATACAGCAAGCCGTAGGTTTTTGTCATAAACTAACCGTGAGAATTGGGGGTTTAATGAGTTGGTAAAACCTGAAAAAAAAGATCGTAAATTTTTGTTGAAATAATTTAATGCCAAATGCCAAATGGCTATATGTCGACGGCGTTGGACGCGAAAATCGAAAGAATGTGCGAAAAAAAAATCGAGGTCGAATTGAGCTCGAATCGAGCTCGAATTGTCGTCGACAAAAGTGGAAATGTGGAATTTTATTCCGGAAAACTATCCTTTGCTCAAAACCACTAATAATGGAATTTTTGAAGACTTCTTGTAATATTAGGCAGAAACTTCGGGCTTTTTATATACTATATCACAATCCCACCCTCAAAGTA